ATTCTTTTACTTGAAGGACACCGCTTGATCTGATGAAGTCTAGTTAACTAGATTTAGTTTAGTAAAATAACTGCAAATCCAATGTAACTGATATCTCATAAAACCTTTCAGGAAGGGTATATACCCTTCGTGCGTGCGTGCGTGTGTGGGTATAAATAAATAAAGTCGTGGCCTAATGGTTAGAGCATCGGACACGTATCCCAAAGGTTGCGGGTTTGAGTCTCGTACCGGCAGGGATTGTAGTTGGGGGGAGTGAATGTACAGCACTCTCTTCCACCTTCAATACCACGACTGAGGTGACCTTGAGCAAGGCACCGAACCCCCAACTGCTCCCCGGGCGCCGCAGCATAAATGGCTGCCCACTGCTCCGGGTGTGTGTTCACTGCTGTGTGTGTGCACTTTGGATGGGTAAATGCAGAGCACTAATTCAGAGTATGGGTCACCATACTTGGCCACATGTCACGTCACTTTATATAAATATATATACATTTTTATAAATTATTTTTTTATTAAACTATAGAAGCTCGTTTCTACCAGAGGTTAAAAATAAGTAAAAGCAACTTTTTATTTCACTATTCATAAGTCACTATTTTTTTCTCGCAAATCTGAGTTAATATAACAATTCAAAACTGTACAATTCTGAGAAAATTCTGAGATAAGCCTCAGTTATTTGATTTATTACCTAATTTAATTTTTATTCTGTGACGGTAAAATAAAAAAAAACTATTTCTCTTAATTGCGAGAAAAAAAGTAAATTCCGAGTCTATATTTTGCTATTCTTAATTTTTTTTGCAATTTTTTTTAAATTAAAAAAGCAGTACAACTGCTTTCAACATTGATAGCAAATCAGCATATTAGAATGATTTCAGAAAGATCATGTGACACTGAAGACTGAAGTAATGATGCTAAAAATTCAGCTTTGATCAGAAATAAATGTCATTTTACAATATATTCACATAAAAAAACAGCTATTTTAAATTGAAATAGTAATTCTGTTTTTACTGTATTTTTAACCAAATAAATGCAGGCTTGGTGAGCAGAAGAAACTTCTTTCAAAGGCATTTAAATACCTTACTGACGTTTATAGTGGTTCGAGTGCCTTAAACTCGAAACAGTTAAAGAATGTACTTAACATGGTTTATTTCAGAGCATTGGGTCTTAACAGAGTTAAACAAAACTGATATTCTTAGAAACTATCATCCACTCCTTACTGGAATAAATGGTTAACTATAATTATAAATACACAATAACAGCACTGAAATGTATCAACAAACTTGTTTCTTTTCATTTCCAGTCACAATGTGTAAAATCCAATGGAAGTGGTTCACAGGGTCCAACAGTAGAATGGCACAATGAAAAGACCAACAGAATGAGCCGGAAACAAACACTTACAAACTAGAAGAAGCTGGGTTTAAAAAAAAGGCAATGTAAGACAGAACTTCAGCAAAAATACAGAATCTCATCTGAACAGCAGCCATACACACATGAACTACTATGTTTCCAGGAATGACTGAGAAGCTTTAATCATAACACTTGACATACAGTATTCAGTCCGCTCTCAAAGCCCCTGCGCACACTGCAGGGAAATACGGTTGCCACTCATTCACCGAGACCATTTACTTTGTAATTACTTTAAACCAAATTTCACTCATAAATTGCTGGCAAATTTTAAAGAAATGCCAAGTAACATTAAATGACATTTTAAAGTAGAAAGACTGAAACTGTATTTTTGTAAAACAAGAAAAACATAACTAACACCAAGCTACGTAAACCAATGGTTCTCAACATGAGCAAAACTTCCAAAGGGGCCTCAAGATGACTTAAAAAGATTATAAATTTCATTTAAATTCATTTTACATTTCTATACCTGGAACAGTCAATTGATACAATTTTAGGGCATTTTTATAATGAATATACACGTTTTCAGTTGTGAATAAAACGTATTTTTTTAAATCCTTAATCTTAACCTTAAATTAAGAGGGGCCTTCAAATGATTTTAACTCATTTTAAATTCTAGACCTGGAAAAAGTTATGTAAATGAATGCAATCTTAAAACATTTAGAGCAGTTCATATATATAGCCCAAAATTGTCCACAACAATATTTGAAGGTCCCCCTTAATTTAAAGGATTAAAAATAGATTTTTTTTTACTCTATAAAATCTATTTGAATATGGCATGCCGAAAAAAAATGTATATTCATTATAAAAATGCCCTAAATGTTTTAGGATTGTGTTAATTTACATGACTTTTCCAGGTCTAGCAATTAAAATGAATTACAATTAAAATAAAAATTATTTGAAGGCCTCACTTAATTTGAAGGATTCCGAATAAGGAGAGAGAGAGAGATATATATATCTCTCCTTATTCTGAATTAAATTAAGGGGGACCTTCAAATATTGTTGTGGACAATTTTGGGCGTTGAGAACCACTGGGTTAAACTGTTGGCTTTTGCGTTTCGTTTTTAGGAACACGTTATGCTAAATCTTCAGGCCTGTATTCTGTACACACACAGAATGACAATTTAAGGACATTTTTATTTGTAAGTTGCTTTGGATAAAATCATCTGCATTTCAATTTTGCATTGTGCACGTGGCCAAAGAGACAAAACTATCATCCAGAGACTCTCACCTATTCACACGTACAGTAGCTGCTGGTAATATCTAAGACTAGAATAAAATATTTGTATTTGACAAAATTCACAAAAAAAACTTATGTATTAGTAAATTAAAATATATACAAAATATTGTAAAAAATAATAAATATGATAAGTGACTGAAACTAAATTTAAATTAAAATGAAAATATTAAAAATGTAATTCAAAATATTAAATACTATAAAATAAAAGCTACAGACAAAATATAGTAAAAAAGTAATAAAAATGACAAAAGCATATAACAAAATGACAAACTAAATAAATAAATACTATAATAGCTTACACACGCACACACAAATATTATATATATAAATGTATATATATATGTGTGTGTGTGTGTGTGTGTGTGTGTTTATATATTTATGTGCATATAAACATTTATTTTAAACTATCTCACAAAATATTTGTATTTGACAACAAAAATGGTGATGTGTCTGCAAAGTATGTACTTGCACAAAGGAAACTTACTCTACTGCTAATAAATAATCTCAGCATGGTTAAATATTGGTTGGTTAAGCCTGGTCAATATGTCTATCACTAGTTTTTAACTTTGGTGGTTACTTGCGACTGTGCTCATTATATTTGCACATTTGCCTGACATCAACACACAGTAACACAGATCACATAAAGCATGGCTCAAGTACAATTTAAGTACAGTACATCAAATAATGGTAGTCACAATTGTGGGGAGTTTAAAACATACAGCATATATCTGGAGTGACATTTTTGAGCTTTATCAACATGCAAGTACTTGAGTAGTGAGTGATACATACGTCACAGGAGCTGTATACTGATGTAAACAGCAGATGTAAACCACAGCAAACACTGTCATTTGTGTTGTGCAGTAGATGTGAGAAAGAAAAATGGCTGTGATGAACACTAGTCATTTTTAACACAATGACTCGGTTTTGAATAACAGGCTTGTGTAATCACAGACACATTCACTGTGTAATTATCATTGATGTTCTTTAAGCAAACCAAATCGCCCCCTAAATAGTTTTTAATGGTGTGATGTCACTCAAATTGATTCTGTCCAGCTTAAGCACTTCAATTTGAAATGACCTCCATTTAAACATCTGATTTCAAATGGTGTGTGCGTTTTAGGCACTCGTGAAGAAAACCTTTTTGTCAACCATCAACCAACCAAAACAGAAATGATCAGATAATCTTAAACTTACCTACATACTCAGCTAATGTTTCACTTTTTGATTGTATCGGACCTGGAAATGTCAGACTACTTAAAGATGGAGTGTGTAATTCCTATTCCATTAACATCAACAAAATTTGATTCAAAATATGAATGCGCATAAAAATATCATAAAAAATGTACATAAAAAATCGACATAAAAATATGTAGAATGTTGTGTTTTTACCTGAAAATGCTAGTTAATATTATTGCATTGGACTAAAACGTACTGACTTTGCTTACACATGTTATAACAACTACAAAAAAAGAAATAAAATAGAAATAAATGTGTGTATGTACGCAAGTAAATAAATAAATACATACTTTTTTTTAGGGATGCACGATATATCGGCCACCATATCGGTATCGGCCGATAAATGCTCATTTATTCTGTTATCGGTATCGGCCTGATAAGAAAATTTGGCCGATATCTTAAAGCCGATAAATAATGCATTATTTCCTTCAGAGACACTTCAGATGCGCGCTGTTCGTTTGCAGCCTTTTGTGCAATTGTACGTTGTAATATTGTGTTTATTTGATGTATATCTGATTTATCTCATATAGAATGCGTTTGGTTAAGTTAAAAAGAGCGCTTCAGTTTACCGGTGATCATCTTTAGCTCAGCACACGCAGCTCAAACAGCAGTGCACAACATTAATAACTATGATTGGGAATGTCGTGTATTATGTAGAATGTTGTGTTTTTACCTGAAAATGCTAGTTAATATTATTGCATTGGACTAAAACGTACTGACTTTGCTTACACATGTTATAACAACTACAAAAAAAGAAATAAAATAGAAATAAATGTGTGTATGTACGCAAGTAAATAAATAAATACATACTTTTTTTGTATTTTGGGGGGATATTTTTCATCTTGTTACACTTGAGGTGTCCCGGTCAAAAAGGATTGGCGTACGAAAAATTGCTTATAATTTTCTTGTTATGCTATATTATGAAGAAATGTTGGATTCAATCTATTTATCCGCTTGTTTTCTTTTAATTAGCACAGATTTTGTATTTCTTTTTAGAGCTGACTGATCACAGGCCTCACTGATTTGAGCTCACGCACTTTCTGTGTGAACATTGCCACAAATAATGCTTTTTTTATTTTATTTCAAAAACTGAGGTGCTACTCATTTTATGCAATAAATAATAAACTTTTATAAATACTGTTGCTTCTAAGTTCTGTGAGTGGTTGTGACCATATGCAAAATCTAGGATCCGGTTATAATGATGAACATATATTCAATTCAAAGCATAACGAATCAATCGCCACCTTTATACTGCAGGCTTTCACTCATGCTGAACCAAACGTCTAACACCTAAACATAACTCAACCTTTAACACGTTTCTTTGACTGCCTTGTGAAAGCACCGAGGTATTTCCTTCAGGAAATGCAAATCTAGTTAACGGTGCAGTTCTGAATTCTATTACAGGCTATTTGCTTTTTGTGTTGTGCAACCCCGAATTAAACAGTCAGTGTCCCAAAACTGCCACATTGGTTGAGAAAGTATTAATACTCATTAAATATTCAAGATGTTAACTGCGATACATCACAGCATCTTAAATCATAAGCTGCACATCTGAGTGCTAAAATCTTCTTATGGTCAAATATATGCATATCGTCATCTCAAATGGGAGCAGAATTTTTCACAGGTGTTAAACGGCTGTTCAGAGTCTCAGCTGTGATCACCTTCAGAATCGTGATGTTCCAGGTGAAGCTCTCTACAGATTTGTGGAGTTTTCTTCCCTTCAGTCCCTCCTTCATCGCCATCTCGTGTAGTTTCTCATGGAACTCCATCGCTGAAATGACACATTCAGAAGTTCAGATCAGAGCTGGCAAATATGCCCAAAAATTATGTCTATATATATATATATATATATATATATATATATATATATA